GGTTCCTTATACAAGAAGGTGGTTCCTTATCCCATTTTGCAAAGGAGGTTCAGAAAGATTAAGCAGATGGTTCAATGTCATATCTAGTAAGTGGCAAGCTGGGGTCCACACAGAAGCTATTTTTCAGTTCATTTCTTGCACATATATGACCTAGATTCTTTGCTGTCTCCTCCTCCTTTTCTTGATGTCTAAGGCCTAGAATCCACATGAACAGCCTTCTTTCTCTACACTTACTCCCAAAGAACACCTCAACTTTTCCATAGCTTCATTACTATCAATATGCTTACACCCAGAATTATTTCCCCAGCAAGCCCTATCTTTGGGGCTCCTCTCAGATAATATGCAATTTCCCCTGAAAGTGTTTCTTAACTATGTCATAAGCATTCAAATACTATCATGCCCCAAACTCATCCTGACAGTTTCCTCTAGAACCTCTTCCTCCCAATCTTCTTCTGTTCAAAAAGGATAATAGAATCTCCCCAGTTCTTTAAGCCACCAAAAAAAAAAAAAAAAACATGTCTTGAATCTCTCTATACCATTCCATGTCTTTTGCATCAGGGTACCCCCAAGACACTATTATTTATGGTCTGCAGAAGGGCAGTAGCCCTGAAATGACCTTCTTACATTATTGAATTTCTCAAGGTCTTTCCTAACTTGTGCCTTTGAGCTCACTGTTCTCTGTCCCCAGTTCATGGTAGGACCTTTCCTGTTTTTCAAGTCTCACATTTGCATGTCCTCTCCTCAGTGATTCCAGCCCTCAGCAATCCCCTTTTATAGTTTTCACTCAATCTCTGTTTCTGTCCACCTCATTTGTTCCCTTCTGATTATTTAGTTTTATATTATTTATTTTTTGTCTGCAACACTGTCGAAGAAAAATTGTACCACAAAAGTTAGTCAGTGAAGACTTTCTTTAAGAATATTGCCATAGAGGACAGAAATTGAATTCAACTCCACTAAAACAAAAGGAGGAAGAGTTTTTAAGAGCTAGAGTGGACAAAAGGACAAAAGGGAGAATACTATTAAGAGGAAGAAGTTCTAGAGGAAACTCTCAGGGAATTTGGTCGATGTGATTCGACATGTGTTTAATAATTGGTGTTCTTCCAAGTTGGGCTCCTACAGTGACTGAGAGATATCTTTCTTTTTTATTTTTGAAATGATACATAATAATTATACTTATGCATGTGGTGTGGTATGATATTCCAATACATGGAGACAATGTGTAAATGATCAAACCAGGGTAATTAGCATATGCATCGCCTCAAACATTTATCATTATTTTTGTGATGAAACCCTTCAAAATCCTCTCTTCCAGCTATTTTGAAACACAAAGGAAGTTACTAGTAACTAAATCATTGTATTCTGCTATAGCACACTAAAACTTATCCCTCCTATCACATGTAGAAGTTAAAAGAGTTGATCTCAGAGACATTGAGAGTAGAATAGTGGTTATGAGAGGCTGGGGAGGTTAGAAGAGAGGTGGAGGTTGGTTAAGGAGAGATAGCTTCCTTGGTAATCACAATTCCAAGGAATAGCTTCCAGGTTGATATTCCTGGATTGTAAATCCAGGGGAGTTGAGGAAAAGATTTGCATGTCAAAGGAGCAGTGAAAATTTTTACAATTGAAAGTTTTCTAAAGTAAATGCTTCAAAAGAGGGAAAGTCAGGAGCTTGTAGTCAGGAAGAAAATTATCTATAGTCATGCTGAGGGAGACGTTGAGTCCATCTTGGTGTATAACTATATGAGATTCATACAAAGAGAAAGTATTATACTTCTAATCCGAAGTGCCTAGGGAAGTTCCTGACACATGTTGAATAAACATATGAATGACTATGCTACCTTGTAACATTTAACTGTGTTATCTCAGATATTTAGCAACGCTAGACACCAATGTCTTGTAAAACTGGGAGAATACTATGCATCTTATAGACTGATGTTCAGGTTAAAGAGGATTGTATATAAAAGCATCAAGAATAGGGTTTCAAACTAAAGCATTTTTCTCTCTAGATATTATACATCATAAATTAACTCTTTGCAAAGTTCTTAAAATACTACACTGCTTTTGACTGTTTTTTTCTTTGATTGTTGGAAAGCTCATTGGTGCTATCTTAACATGATTGATATTGTACATCCTTTTGTCTTCTGTGAACACATTCTTAAAAGTAATCAAACATAAAACAAAATGATAATTACTCATGAGTAATAAATATAAGACAATCTCTATCTTTATACTTGAGGCTTCCCAGCAAAAGCATTTGGCTAGTGTCACTCGTATCACTTATTGCCTGCAGAAATAAGTGAATATCAAAGAAAGAAGCATATGTAATGCTTTATCCGGAAGATTTTGAGGGAATATTCATACATTAGGATTTGATGGTTGCCACAACCTGCACAGTTGAGCTTGAGAAATCAGTAGTGAGGGGTGATGGGAGATTAGGAAAAACATACCCACAGAAAGAGAGGGGGGCAGGGAAAAATTGAGAATAAGCCGGGATCAAGTGAAACACTGCACTCTGATGGAGGAAACAATGGCTGAAGACCTGGCCCAACAAGTTTATTTATGAGGATCTCATAATTAAAAAATTAAGGACTATAGAAGTATTGTTCTTTGTGCTTTTGAAAGTTTCAGGGCTAGAAACATTCTTGTAGCTATTTCACTGTTGCAATGCTTGGGGCTTCCCGTGGCACCCAAGAATCCCATTGTTCAAAGTTTCTACTAAGCCAACGGGCTTGAAGCTTACAGCACTGGTGAAACATTGTAGTAATCTTGCTATGCTCAGAGTCTTCTATCCCTGGAGCTGGCATGTGAACTCAAATTTATGAGCTGAAGAATTCTATGCCAGGTACAGAATTCTCATGCTTAACAGGGGTTACCATCAACTGAGCAGGTTTCAGTAGTCAGCTTCCCACCGAGAAATTCTGAAAAAGTCTCTCAGCTCCACATCAGAATTGTGTCTACACCAACAATATAAATTAAAACATACACCATTACTGCTTTAACAATCTATGATTATCAGACAAAAGTGGATATTTTTGTTCCTACTCTTTAGACAATGATCTCATTGTCCTCCTTGATTTGCAAAGATAGACACAGTATTTCTTTGGCCAGAAAATGCTAGATCCTCCATCCAGATACCTAGAATAGGCACCCACTTTACATTTCAGTACTTAAACTCAAATATTATATGTTTCATGAGATGGTACCAGAGGCAAAACTAACTCTCATTCATTAAGTATGCCACATCAGGCCCTTTCTCCCCAAATGTCATGAGGATGAATAAATACACTTATCCTTAAAACCAAGAATAATAATCCATTCTTAGTGTAGTTCTTTCAGTTTTCCTAACAAGGAAAAAATTACAAAGTAAAGTACCAGTAAATTGATTTGAAAATATAAAATGACTCCTCTGTCTTGTGACGGCTCTTCAAAAATTTAAACATAGAATGACCATATGACTCAGCAATTCTGCTTCTAGATATAAACCCAAACAAAATGGAAGCAAAGACTCACTTTCACATCAAAGTTCATAGCAACATTATTCATAATCATCAAAGTGCAGAAACAACTAAAATGTATATTGACAGATGATAATATAACCAAAATATGGAATATTACTCAGTCTTAAATTGGAGTGAAATTCTGATTTGCACTACATATGGATGAACCTTAAAATATTATGCTAAATGCAATAAGTCAGGCAAAAAAACAGAAATATGATATAACTATGTGATTGTATGGTTTGTATTTGTATTATTAATTTCATGATTTGTAAAGTATATAAAACAGGCAAAGTCATAGAGACAAAGTAGAATAGATTTTACCCAGGGGAATCGGAAATAGGAGGTTATTACTTAACAAAGTTCAAAGTTATTGTTTGAAATGAGAGAGAAGTTCTTGAAATTGAGGTTTATACAACTTTGTGAATGTCTTTAATCTTCCTGAATTGTATGCTTAAGGACGTAAGAGGTGATCCCTTTCATGCTCTGTATATTTTACCGTAATGAAAAATAAATGAACAAATAAGAACTGAAAATAATTTTTCACTCTGGTATAAGATACTCCATTGATCTTAAGATTTAGGGTTTTTTGCCAAGTTCAAGGGGTAGCACAAAGTAATAAAAACAACCCCAGATATGGCTTCAGAAGACTTTTTCTCAAATCTCAATCCAGTCACTCATTAGTAACAAAAGTGTGAGTGTGTCACTTCGGATGTTCACACCTTAGTCTCTTTCATTTACACCATACAGGATGAGAATTAAAATGCAAATAAGGTGCTTCATAAATGCAAACAATTATGCAAGTGGATGTAGGCAATTTTTATTATATATTCCTTTAGGGAGATTTGTCATTATAATCTTATCACCAAAATGCAGTTATTAATTCTCATTTAAGTATCCTGATAAATTAAGTTATTGTTGTTAAGACTCAGCCAAGGGTTTTTTTTTTTTCATTAGTTATTTTTGTCAATTTAAAGCACTAAATCCACAGTCCTTAGAATGAAAAACTAATGCTGTATTTCTATGTTTTCATTAACCCTTAACTACAATAAAGGGATCATTAGACCTTTCCATTTACTTTAATGCCTTTTGTTCATTGTCTAGCCTCACTGCACATAGCGTAGGCAAAAGAAGTAAATTGCCTTAAAAAGAAGGGACAATCATATTATATCTTGTCTAGAGGGAAAAAATGGTGGTTCTTTTTTAACTACAAGTGTTAAAAATATATATATTTATTTTGTTACTTGCTCTCATTCTCTATTCCAAATCCTCTCATCCAAATCATTCAAACCATTATCAGTCGCTAAGTGGTCAAACCTGTACTAATAATTTGACATGATATGTCAAAATGGAATTGTCTTGTAAAGTCCTTTGGATACATAATTATTTTGAAAATAAGTATTTAAAAAGGAGCATCAATGCCTTGCTATAACGTCATAAGTTAGTATCAAAATTAATGAGATTGAAACAAATGCCAACTAATTTTTTTTTTATTTTCCTCCTTAGCGGTTATGTCTTTGACTATGATTACTACAGAGATGATTTCTACAATCGGTATGTGAATTTTTCTTTCTTATTTCCCTATGATTCTTTCTTATTTCCCTGAGTCATCTTTAACTATTTTGTGCATTTCATTCACAGATGCTCTTGAATGAAGTGTTAAATATAGTATTTCTTGAAATTATTAAGTTATTTTTATTTTTTAAAATGTTTTTATTCTGTTTATAGTTAAATATAACATATGAAGTCTAAATGGAATGGAAGATAGACAGATTTTTCTATTTTCCTCACTCCTACTGAAATATAGTAGATCTTGAAAATTTAGGACTTTGGAGGCGCTTAATCAGAAATTTTATTTGTAATATTTGGTTAACATTCTAAGGATTTAGTTAACTAATTATTTTCCAGGTCTGTTGTTGACTTAGAATTTTCAAGATTGAGAGTTTCATTAATTCTGAAAATGATTCCAACCTTCTAAAATATACTTTCATGACACATTGAAAAGGCTATAATATTGGTTAGAGTTAATAAAATTTACAGACCATTCCTGCTATGCATGATAGTATGGCACCATAAAAGCAATCATCCAAGCTAAAGTCAGGCAAAATGTTCTTAGTGATCAATGGTTAAAAAAAAAATAGACTTTTCTTATGACCTTTAATTTTTTGTTAAAACTTTTAAAACACTTTTACTGTCTGCCCTATAAGTGCAGAGGGCTTTGCAGTAAAGCTAATAGTGATTCAGCATATTACAATTGAAAACAATAAAATTTTGAGAATTAAATTTTTTTATTCCTTTGTGGAAAATTTTACCAAAAGTAGACAAATAGTGCGTGCCTTCTTTTCATTGCAAAACTTAGGCTGTGGAGCAAGTACCTATTTTAAGCCTTGATGAACAGCCCTTCTTCTTTCTGAGGTTGGATCAGTTGGACATCCTACCCATGTTGTGAACTATCTCTGAGAGTTCCTTCAGTGGATGGTTCTTTTGCCACCATGGCTTCCTCTCTATATCTTCATCTCCTTTCATCTCATTACACCCATTTTCCTCACTTATGCTAATAAACTTGCTTTATCAATTTCCTTTGGTTCTATATCTAGAGTCCCTCAAATGGAAAAGTGTCAACATCCCTATGACCATCTATTTATTTTAATAATTCCATTTACATCTAATTTGAAATTCACTTCCAGTATCATCACTCTTCGGTGTGATTATTCGTTTTTGTAAGATGCCACATGAGTTTATCATTGAGAGACAAGGAGGCATGATAACTATCTGATTGCTATCTGTATATGAACTAAATAACATGAACAGCAACCAATCTTTTACAGACTTGGAGACATGATTGGTCTTTGGTCATGATGCACTTTTGCTATTCACACATAGTCATTTGTGGATGGAAAAAAGTTAGCAGCAAAGATTGCACTTTATAAAATTACTCATAGGTTATATGTTGTGGTAACTGAAAACTAATTTGTGTTGTTGGACAATTGGTGTTATTTAACTAAACACTGATAACATGCATATATAAGATATGCAACCCAAGGACCAACTGTAGAAAAGTCTTTGGGGGAAAACAGAGGTAAATATCTTTTAAGTCATTAGTAAATGTCTAATTATAAGTACTACTAAAGCAAAAAAATACAAATAAGAATGCAAACCTGGAAAAAATAATTTTCAATAGACATTTAAAAAGGGAAGGAATCTTGTGATCGATTGAAAAGGTTATATCTTCTCTGTTCCAGCTGCACAGGTCCTATTCAGTTCTGTGAGAATACTATTTTCCTTCCTGCCTCAGGTCCTTTCTCTGTGCTGTTCCATCTCCTCACACCTCCCTCCACTGCCTAGTTTACTTGACTTCATCCTCAGATCTCAGTATGAACACCACTCCCAGATTAAATTAGATTCTTCTGTTTCTCTCTCTCAGCCCCCAACATTGTTTCTTCTCAGCACTTTTCCAAATTTGTACTGCAATAATTCTTTCTGCAGTGACTTTATTTGATTCACATTTGCCTTCCCTCTTCCATGAGGGCTCCAACAATGTTAACCTTTGCTTATCTTTGTATCTTCAGGGACTATGAGTAAACCTCACACATAGTGGATACTCAATTTTTATTATTAATGCATCTCTCTACATTTAAGGAGATGCATTTTCCCAAGGTCACCCAGCCAATTAGTGACAGAACTACAATCATAACCTGGGTATTTGTTTTAATTCAATAATCCACTGTGTGAATGTACAAAACAGAGGAGACGCACTGTTAGTCTATGATATAAAATAAGGACACAGCCTTACCTACTTGGGAGTCAGAGCTACAACAGTAATTATTACTATGTCCAAACTACTGGGTTAAGCAAAGTATTTTACTAGTTACATCTATGGACAAAAATTTATATTTAAGAATAATTTTTCTCAAATCACTTATGATTTTTACAAAATATAAGAGTTTAATAACTTATAATAACTTGTTATTAAAGTGATATGAATGTCTATCAGCGTTAAAATAGTCCTACTTACTATTGTGAAAAGATAATATCGAAACAGTCTACACTTTTGTATAGTAGGCATTTTCTATTACAGCTTTATTTTTTCAGGGTGCAGCACATTGTCCTAATTTCTATTAACACACATTGTCTTACAGTCTGTCAATATGAAATTGTTCTAGCCTCTTAACTGTTTTGTATCGTGTGACTTACTTGCACCCTTAAAAATTTATTCCTAAAATGGAGTCCTGCTTTAGAAGGCAAGAGACCCAAGGTCTGATAACAATTATAGATTTGGGGACCAGTCAGGTTTTCCATCTTCTCATCTTTAAAGAGAAGACAAGATCTGTATTTTACTACTTCCAAATGACAGCTCAGAAAAATAGCTGATAGGTAAGATAGATCGATCTTACAAAGAGCAAGAGCCTTAAGCAGTCAAATAATTATAGAGCTTGAAGCTTTCAGTTAACTCTCCACTGCACAAAAAAAAAAAAAAAAAAAAAAAAAAAAAAGCTAACTCTGAATGATTTTCAAACATTTGTTTGTCTTCTGCACAATCTGTTTGGCTTCTCAGTGTGCAATAGATCAGTGTGACTGTACTGTTAACAGACTATCTGAACAGTCTGTGCTTTCATTAGTTTATTTTTCATGTTTTGCACTTGGCTTAAAAAGACATAAGCATCTGCTATCAGTGTATATACTCAAGAGCTCCCTGTAAACACAGAATCCCACAAAAAGGAAAACAGAATGGAGTGGGTAGATGAGAGGAATAGTCTACAAAGTCACTACAACAGTTTTATCCACAGTGATTCCTCCTAAATTACACTTGGCTTGTACTGATGTTTAAATTTTTAAAAACTCTTTTTAGTAGCAGTGCAAACTTGGGCAAATCATTTAAAACCACAACCTGTTGTCTCATCTGTTAGGTGAGCATGAAGTTAATTTCCAACACAAATTTGTGCTGAGGATTAAATGAGGGAACATGTGTAAGGATCAGCATTATGCCTGGTGTATATTTAATGCCTAATCAATGTTAACTACTAGTAACAACTAACAGTAACCATTGATGGTCATGAAAGTGTTTCTTATATGGGTATTCATATTTCAAAGTTCATTTAACTGAGAAATAAGCTGGTTGGTTGGTCAGGCATCCTTCCATAATAGTACATTGTGACCCTCTGGATTAACCTGTTTGCATCGAAAATTTTCTCTTAACCTACTCCCCAGAGCATTCCAGCTGCAGCAGAATACACATGGAGGGTGTGGGGCACTCAGCTATTTCCATTAACCCCATGTTGCTTTGTTTAAGTCAGGAAAACAAAATGGCACTAGTTACGTTTAACTGGGATCACTGCATATAAAAACTTGCTAACTAGGAATTACAGAACTGAAAAGGCAAGAAGGAATCACCCTACTGTAATGGAGTTAGTAACTGCAGGAGTCAGATACCACCTCTAAGGTTGGGGAAACAAAAGAAGATTTTGGAATTATCAAGATGTAGTGAAAATCAGGTATGGTGCCATACACCTGTAATCCCAGCTACTGGAAAAAATGGCTTGAGCGTAAGAAGTCAAGACCAGCCTGGGCAATAGTGAGACCCCATCTCAAAATAAGAAAAAGAAAAAGGTATTGTAGAAAAAGGGTCTTGCAGAGCTGAACATATGGCCAAGTAGTTCTTCTCAGACAGTGCTCTGTCCCTGTGTGGATTTCTGAGGAAGGGGCATAGTCTGCAGGTGCAGATGTCTCAGAGGGAAAGTGGAGGGAACTCTGTAAATGTTGCAAATGACTCCAACTAGATTCTGGCTGCAGCTACTGGAATGAATTGCTGCTGCCAAGGTGAAGAAACAAGGTCAGAGTAGTGCTCAGAAGAGCAGGAAGTGAAAACAAAGAGAAGCAAGTCCCTTTTCCTACGGGTCTTGCTATTTCCTCCTTGGGCCCTTCATTGGCTGAGCCTAGAGGAATCTAGCTCCCTTACCTGCAGAAATGTGGTCTACAGAATGCAACCCAACCTATAGCTAAGGATAGATATGAAGCTGAAAAACAATAAATTGACATTGAGCTGCATCGTATTGTCATTATACTTTTACCAGATCTGTGGATTTTAATGTAACAGAGAATTTTTAATTCTTAGGTAAAGTTTTATCTTAGAAAAATTTTTCTACGCAAACTTCCATCTTGTGATTGCTGAGTCTATTCATAGTTTCAAGGATTATGATGTGTATTACTAAATAGTATATTTGAATCATTATCATCAACTTTTATCTTTTCCATATTTTGCACAAAGAATTGCCCCAAAATTTTTAGCCTTTAATGGCATTTTCTTTTAAGTATAAACACAGAATGTTGCGTGTTACTAAAGCTAAACATAAATATTTATGTGTTTCCAAGGAAACTAAAAGGAGAGGTATACCTAAATACATTGAATACCTTCAGAGAATGTTTGCAGTTTTAGAAATTAGCAATTTAAATCCATGTTTTCTTACATTAGTACCAGGAAGAGCACTGAGCAGTTTACATGCTCCAGTGATATGTAAACTTTTGTTAATAGGGAAAAAGAATGTCAGAGGTGTCTTACCATATAGAAAATATGTATACATTTTAGGTGACTCAAAATGGCCACTGTTTAATTCTGAAACAACTTTGACCTTGTGTTAATCCTTGTATTAATTAGATGAAAAAAAAAGCTACTCCAGTTTTGGTTGATGAGAAAACTCTTGAGTTCCAGTTGTGTCAGATCATTAATAATAGAGCACAATATATATTCATGATACTGGAAAAAATTAACAAGGAGCAATGTCTATTTCATTATGTAAATTTATCATCTGATAGAATAAGATTCCACTTAAAGTTTGGAAATAACAGCATGATATAGTTTACAAAGGGCGTGATTTGGAGTCAGAAGATGTGAATTTCAAGCCTCGATGCACATATGTTGACTGATTAAACTTGAGGAAGTTACTTCTTCCCTTTTTCCTTCATGGACAAAAATGACTTAAAATACCAACATTACAAGGTTAGTGAGTTTTAACCTCATCTTGGCCATTTGAATATATTAACTGTTTAATTCCATAAAGATATATATTTTTAAAAAAAAAACAGCAGGTAGGAATCTTAAGAAAAACATCAAAATCTTAAGGTCAAAAAATGGCAAAAAAAATGATCTTTCGAGTTTGCAGCCAAATTGACTTTAAAAGCATCTTCAACAAGTATTTGTACATGTCTCAGGAAGTAAACTTCACAGAAAACCTTGGAAGAGGTTAATGATATAAAAGAGCAGTAGAAATTACTCATCATGACTGGTTATCAGATGAAATGTGCCATTTAAAATTCTTTTCTCCCTTTTTTCTATTTTTATTTATTTATTTATTTATTTATTTTGCAAATAGAACTTCATTTTAATGTTCAAATTTATGTTTTTCCTTTTGTGCTTAGCAGTATGATGCAACCATGTTTTCATTTTATTAAAATAAGTTTCCACAACTTGCATTACTTCTATAATTTCATGAAAATTATTTTCCAATTTAGTTGTAATCAAAAACTATTTGAGCCCAAGGTGGAAATCATAGTCAGTTTGTGAATTTTTGACTAGTTCAAACAGTATAGGAAACAAGTGTGTTACTAGCCTATAAGAATCATTTGTGTGGATTTCAAAAGAGTGGGCACTTTAATTTGGTTATACAGACTATAAGTCTGTGAGAAGTCAAGTTTGAAAGAAAGAAGGGTTCGAGGTTGAATCAAAATGTAGCTAATATTATTGGTCCTCTGGTTGTTGATCTTCATGTGTCTGCCAAAATGTCCTGGTGAGAACCTGACCCTGAATTTGTTCTCAGAATTTGCCTTTGAGTGGAGAAGTGATTTATCCCCCTAGTCATACATTTTGTTAGCATTAACTACACAGTGACAGTAAGTTTGATTTATAAGTAGGGAAAATAAAGAACAATTTTCCTGAGGGAAATTTTGAAGAAAACAGATAATTACCATAAAATACTCAAAATTATTGTTAATCTGCCATGAAAATTTAGTCCTTGGTGACAAAATATATGCACATATTAAATTTTTCAAATTTTTCTTTTTTTGAAATCTTATTAGTCTTTAGGAAAAAATAAGAATCAAGGCAAAAAGCTTAACAAAGGGGTAATGATTTATTAGAATGTGGCATGTCTACTTGAAAGAGTGTACTCCAGCAATTAAAATAAACATTAGCAAGCTTGAGAAATGCTTTTAATACAAACCAAAGTGCCTGAATACATGACTATGCATACATTATGTTTTCAAGTTCGTAAAAATTATGGATGTTTATAGAAAAAAAGATTGAAGTGTTTTAAAATGAACCTTGGGGAAAAAGAATTATATATTTGGCTTCATGATAAGCCATTATCTATTTGACCAAAAGCATTAGGAGAAATAACATTAGGAAAAATGAAGAACTATTAAAGAAAAAAAAAGGGAATATAAGTCTAAGAGTGAAAGAAATGAAAAATAAAGCAAAGATAAGAGGAAGAAAAAAATTATAAGATTTTAGCTGAATTTTGAGATTTGGATTCCAAATAATTGTATTTGGATTTCCTTTTTCATTGCAGATCTATAATTTTAAGTTAACTATTTCCTTTTTCTTGACACTGTTTGCAATCTATTTCTTTGTAGAGGCAAACTTCTTTGGTTTACTGTAGATAGAGTTCTGATGAGAAAGCTAATGTTCATCTCCTCCCACTGCCTTCCATCTGCTTCCCTGGGTTAGAAGAGTCCTATACCCTGTCTCACAATCCCAGAGGGCCTGGCTCGCTTCCTTGTTTTATGTTGTCATGCATTAGGACAACTCCCAGTCTTCCTTCCCTTTATTTCTGATATACTCAAGGGTACCCAATGAAAGCTAAGAAAGTCTCCATTCAATGTTGTAAAATTAAAAATTATGCTCTTATGTGAGGTACCCATTGTTTTGTGAATTACATATCCCATTAAAATATGTAAGTTGTGAGAGCTGTCTTCCCATAAGAGTGGCACAATGAATTGGTAAAACCTCACCTGATTCCTTGGTGAGAAAAGTCGTCTCCCATTGAAACAACTCACCAAAATATTCAGAGGACAAGGGCCACTTTCTATAGGCATTTGCATCAAAGAGTACAACATACATTCAGTATGTTATTAAAATGTATGCCACAGACTAGAAGTGCATCACAAATACAATGAACAAAAGCAGATCTCTTTTCTCGAGACCAGTGTAGCTCAACACAAGAGTCTTTGGAATCCTTGGCTGAGGAATGCAATACAAAACATCGACAAACATTTTAGTCTTCTATAAAATATTATTGGAGTGAATTATAATATTGAAGTAGCAATTGCTTGGCCTGCATTTCCATTATAGTATTCTTATATATATTATAATATATTTTTATTATGCATCAGAGATTTTCTTAACCCAATTTATAGATTCACTTATTTAATGAACCTGCTAAATTACACATGCATGGCCTGAGGAAATGGCCTCTTCAAAGAGCTTAGCTTTCACCTCCACGGGTAACTTTTACCCTGGAAAATATGAGTCAATTGCCATATTTTCTTTCCCCTCAATAGTTTTGGGTATCATAGTTCATGCAAAATGCCTTCATGTTTTGGCTCACTGACTTAAGGAGCTCTGTGAATTCAACTTATAAATAACTAATGCAGACCTTGTTTTGTGATTGAAAAAAGGGGCAGGTTTCCTTGACCCTTTTGATTTTGAAATCCCTGGTGGTGGGGATGATATTCATAACCCTTTTCAGACTCATCTTGCCTATATATACTCTTTGAAGTAAACTGTACTGTGCTGATACCCATGACCTGTTCTATGCTAGCCATCCTTTGTCTCTAATGGACTTTGCTTATTTACAGAGGATGCCCCTTCTCTTGAACTCTGTCTCATTTCACTTCTTTTTCATTTCAGATATCTCCTGGCTTTTCCCCAAAAATGTTTCCAAATTGTTTTTGGACACTTTAGCTGTCTAACATAGAAGATATTCTTAGTACTAAAGAATTGCTTTAAATTTGTTTATATATTGCCTTTCTGCCAGAGTGTAATAGTTTGAATTTTTTTGAATACTTGAAAATTAGCCTATCTTAAATTTATTATAGTTCATATATTTTTCAAAACAAGATTATCACATTTTCAGATGTATGTGTAAACAAAATGTAATTTTATGAAACAACCTCTTACAAATATTGTCTTTTTCCATATTTTTATTGGTGCTTTATGATTATACATAATGGTGGGACTTGTTATTACATATTTGTTCATGCACACTATGTAACAATATAATTTGGCCATTATCGTCTTTCAGTATTTCTGTTAGAAATTATAGGGTATTTTTATTGTTTTTTTTTCCTGTTCTAGTTTTCTCATTTCTGACCTTTATATTGGATTATTTTTATTGACTGTTTTAAAGCAATTACGAAACTAGAATTCATATCATGGTGTCACAATAAAAAATATAACAATCATAATTCTAAGTCAGTAATGCTGTTTTCTTTATATTGGAAAACATAATTACACATCTTGTTGTTTGGCAAATAGTTTCAAAAATAAATGAGTAAAATGTATCCCAGTATATTTTCTCTGATCTTTTATGTGTCTCAAATATGCTGTCATGTAAAATTTTGTTGTATATGAGTATGCAGTATAAATAATATGAGGCTTTTAATCCTTTGAAGTATATATTTCTATAAATGAGTTTATATTCTTTTACCTTCATCCCTTTTATTGTTTAATTGTCATTAAACGATGTGGGGAATATAATTTCTCACGTTTTAGTAAAAGTAGGAGATTATTGATTTTGGGGGGGGTAGAAGAATTTTCTGTAGTTACTATACATATATCTCTACTCTCAGTTTGCATATCCAATAAATGATCAGGATGATTAAATATATCCTGGCCAATATTTCCCACTAGTGCTTTAGTCAACAAAATTGGGTCCTCACCCTAGTTCTATTTTATTCAAACCTTTTATATATAGTTGGAGGAGGCTTGATTACTTAAAAAGTCCTTAGAGAGAGGTAATGCACCATATTGATTTGTCTTAGAGTTGTTTTCTTTAAGCTGGTTTTATTTCTATTTGTTTTATTTCTATTTGTTTTCCTCTGGACTCTGTTTTCTGATCAGAAGATCATTTTCTTTATTTTGTTCCTGATTCTGCATAATCTTTCCTATTTTCAAGCTAGTGTGCTAATAAGTGTCTGAGGTGTAAGAGGAAGATTTCTGTTCATGAGAAGGGTACACTGGTTTATCCAAGCAAAGAAATATATTTGGGAACAAAGGTCAGCGTAATTTCAACAAATTGCCCGGTACTATTGGAGCAAAGCTCCTTGTCTTTTCATTCCTTACAAATGAGTTCATATTGGGGTCATATTCTAATGTCCAGAAAGCATAGTGTATATTTGCATCCTATTTCTTTGTGAAAAATAAATCTGCCAATAAACAGCTTTTCTGAATATTAAACGACAGAAAAAAAATTATTGTAAAATTTTACCAGAACATTCTTTTCATCATCTCAAACATTTAGGCTTCAAACCAACTTGGTCCCGTTTGTGTCTTGTGAAGGTTGTTTGATTACCATGGGCGTGTGCCTCCACCTCCCCGTGCCGTGATCCCGCTGAAGCGTCCCAGAGTGGCTGTCACGACAACTCGCCGGGGGAAAGGAGTCTTTTCAATGAAAGGGGGATCAAGATCTGCTGTCAGTGGGTCTTCCTCCTCAGGCTCTAAGTGTAAGTAATGTTCTTTATTTCCTTTTAAATAAAAGTAGGAATAACCATCACTGCATAACTGTCGATAGTCCATAAATCAAAGAGGCAACCACTAGAGAGACATAAAACAGGGATGGAATGACCTCTGCTTTTCTGTGAAGCAGGGGAGCAGACTCCAACGTGCTGACAAAGGTTCTGGACCAATCTGAAAAGAACTGTAAAGGTATCTTACCCCAATGTACTCTCAGCTGATTTAGCTTGTGATTTATTAAAGTCCTGAAATAAAATATATTGCTTTTTAATGAGGTAACAATTTCACTTGAAAACAGAACGCATATACCATCTTTTCAGAGAGGTTTTATGCAAAATTTGAGTTTGTTTTGAATATTTGAGCATAAAGATAATTAAAACGGGCAGAATACATGATAGCCACATTAACAAACAAAACTTACCATGTATTCTAAATCATTATAAGGGTACATGTCTGAAAATACACTTAGTATCACAAAAAAAGAAAACACTATGTACATAACTCCACACGAATCAGAAAAAGGAGAAATGCAAACTTTCTAACTAAACACATTGCTAAATATCTATCTAGACGGATTCAGAAAAAAACTCTAAACTGGTATTAGAATAGTATCCTAAAGAATGAACCACACCATTTTCTGTGTTCCTTGATATTACAGGTTAGCAGAGCAGAAGTAAACAGCACACATGTATCTCACTGGTATTTTAAAAATGAAAATACAGAGACACTCGGGAGTGCTATATTTCACAGGATGATCAATGACTACCTGTGGTTGTTGACAGATGGAAACCTGAAGAAACTGAGTGAGCAAAAGAGCAAGAGAGAGGGATCCCTGACATTATGGGGCACTGTTCTGAGCAAATGGTCAGTGCAGAGACCTTAAGTTGGCTTAGTTAAGGAAGAATAACAGAGCTGGTGAGGCTGCAGAGAGCCAGGTGGGGAAGTAGGGCTGCTGACATGATCAGAAGACAAGTTCCAGCACAGCCTGGTAAGGATGTTGTGTGTACATATTCTGCCAACCCTTCAGAACAAGTGAGACAGATGTTTTTACCCCATTTTTATTAATGAGCAAACATAGAAGGTTATGTAACTAGTAGATGGTAGAGTCAGAACTATCTGTATCAGAAATACTACGCATCATTATCAAAATAATTTCCTTTTACATGAAAATGGGCAAAGAAAAAAAATAGTTCAGAAAAGAGAAAGGTACTGATGCTTCTAGAAACTCTCAAGTTTGGCCTGCTAAGAGTTTCACTGAGAATTTAACTCAGCTAATATAACCTCAATGGCAAACTAAATAAATTTGCAGTTCTCTATGCGCTTATTTATCCAGTCTGTTCTGTAGATAGATAAATATGAATTCTTTTTCGAGTCTAGTAATAAGAGAAAATGAGTTTCTGCTGTAGTTTCCACACACTCTAATATACTCTCGGATTACTGTTAAGAGCAAAGAGAGCTGTGGAACTTGGTTCTTGTTGTGGAAAATTGAACACTGAATTGCCTGCTAGGTTTATAGAAGACTGTTTTACCATTGGTGGTATTAACTTCAAATGGAAATATCTAAAGCATCATGGATTGTTTGTCTTGTGGTCATCTTAAAACAGTGTTTAACAACAAAAGCATTATTGGCATTTTGCTGGATAGTTCTACATTGTGTAAGAATATTCCTAGTGGGAAGTTATACTCCATGTATTAGAATAAATTCTAATGTTATATATAACTAAAAATTAATTAAAAATTGAATAAAAAGAGTATCCTGAGCTCTGCAGAGCATTTAGCATCCCTGACCCCCAAACCTTAAATAGCAGTAGGATTCTTCAATGTTTGTAACTATAAACACACCTATACATTTCTAAGTATATCCCTGTGAACATGTTACCAACCAAATTTAGAGTCACTGATGTAGAAAAATACTTGCCTTACCTTGAGGCCATTTTCTAGAAGGTTCAGTAATATGGGACTCAATCCTCAGTTGTCATGTACTCCAGTGCATTACTGAGAAGAGTAGCAACTTCCAGAGGTTATTTCAAAGTAAATATCTCAACATTCAAACGGTTAAAATTTGGTACTTCATTTTTTGATTTCTAGTCATATAGTGTCATTACTAGAGAATGAGAACTTTAAAAATATCCTTTTATAATTTTATTAAGAATTTCTTGTTTCCATATTAATAAGATTTTATAAATTAACATGCAAACAGAATACATTTTCTGCTTTAATATAGAACTGAGTATGGAGTGTTAGATTGTTGGTTGTATTATCTAAATCCTCTTTAGACTTATTTTTCTTGTAGCAAATTTATCATGATAGAGATTTTACATAGATTTTTTTTCTTAAGGCTTTGTTTTATATGCCACATCCCTTGGATGATTTATATAATTGCTTATAATAATAATAATAATAATAATAATAATAATAATATAAGAAGAAGAAGAAAAGTAATAGCTACCATTTTTAGTGTTATGATGGCTATTATTTTGAGCACTTCACATATCAATTTATTTATTCTTCACTAATACCCCTGTAAGTGAGCTATTCTTTTTCCTATTTGTTCTTTTTAGTTATACATGACAGTAGAATGTATTTTGACATATCAGACATACATGGAGTACAACTTCTCATTCTTGCAGTTGTACATCATGTGGACTTACACTGGTCATGTAATCATATTTGAACATAGGAAAATTATGTCCAGTTCATTCTACTGTCTTTCCCATTCCCATCACCCCTCTCTTCCCCCATTTTTCCCACCCACCCCCATCCAATCAGTATATCTCCACTCCCCCCACCACCTATGGTGAGTCAGCATCTGCATAGCAGTGAGAACATTTGGCCTTTGGTTTTTGGGGATTGGCCTATTTCATTTAGCATGATAGACTCCAGTTTCACCTTTTACAGGCAAGGGCTATAATTTCATTTTTCTTTATGGCCAAGTAATATTCCATTGTGTATATATACCTCATTTTCATATATACATTCATCTACTGAAAGGCACCTAGGTTGGTTCCATAGCATAGCTATTGTGAATTGAGCTGACATGAACATTGATGTTGCCATGTCACTACAGTATGCTGATTTTAAGTTGTCTGGGTATATGCCAAGGAGTGGGATAACTGGGTCAAATGGTGGTTCCATTCCAGTTTTCTAAGGAATCTCCATTCTGCTGTCCAGAGTGGTTGCAACAATTTTCAGTCCCACCAGCAATATATAAGTGTGCCTTTTCCCCACATCCTCTTCAACATTTATTATTGCCAATATTTTTGATAATTGCCATTCTGATTGGAATGAGATGAAATCTTAGTTTTCATTTGTATTTCTCTAGTTGCTAGATATGTTGAACATTTTTTTTTCATACATTTGTTAACCATTCATATTTCTTCTGTGAAGTGCTATTCAGTTTCTTTGCCCATTAATTGATTGGGTTATTTGGGTTTTTTGGTGTTAAATGTTTTGAGTTCTTTATGTATCCTAGAGATTAATTCTCCATCTGAGGTGCAGGTGGCAAAGATTTTCTCCCATTCTGAAGGCTCTCTGTTCATGTTCTCGATTGTTTTATTTACAACAAAGAAGCTTTTTAGTGTGATACAATTCCACTTATTTATTCTTGATTTTATTTCTTGCACTTTAGGGCTGTTATTAGGGAATTTGGTTCCTAAGCCAACATGATGAAGATTTGGGCCTACTTTTTTCTTCTGTTTGGGGCAGGGTCTCAGGTATAATACCTAGGTTCTTGATCCACTTGAGTTGAGTCTTGTGCAGGGTGAGAGGGGCCTATTTTCATTTTATGACATATGGATTTCCAGTTTCTAAATGGAGAAAAATTGGAAGCTTTCCCTCTAAAAGCTGAAACAAGACAAGGATCCCCTTTTTCACCACTTCTCATCAATATAGTCCTGGAAATTCTAGCCAGAGCAATTAGACAGAAGAAAGAAATTAAAGGGATACAAATAAGGAAAGAAGAACTCAAATATCCCTATGTTCTGATGATATGATTCTATATTTAGAAGACCTAAAAAATTCTACTAGAAAATTTCTAGAACTCATAAATGAATTCAACAAAGTATTAAGATATAAAATTAACACCTATAAATCAATTGTATTCCTATGCATTGGTGATGAATTAACTGAAATAGAAATTAGGAAAACTATCTCATTCACAATAGCCTCAAAAAAAAATATTTGGGAATCAACCTAACAAAAGAAGTGAAAGAGACCTCTACAATGAAAACTACAGAACACTGAAGAAAGAAATTGAAGAATATCTTAGAAAATGGAAAGATTTCCCATACCCTGTTCTAGGATAAGCAGAATTAACATTGTCAGAATTGCCATACTACCAAAAGTGCTATACAGATTTAATGCAATTCCTATTAAGATTCTGGTGACGTTCTTCATAGAAATAGAAAAAAAATCATGAAATTCACTTGGAAAAATAAGTGACAAGTATAGCCAAAGCCATCCTCAGCAAAAAAAAGTAAAGCAGGCAGCATCATAATACCAGACCTGAAATTATACTACAGAGCTATAATAACAAAAGCAGCATGGTATTGGCACCAAAACAGACATGAAAACCAATGGTACAGAGTAGAAGACACAGAGACAAACCCACATGAATACAGTTTTCTCATACTAGACAAAGGCACCATAAACACACATTGAATAAAAAACAGCCTCTTCAACAATTGGTGCTGGGAAATCTGTAAATCCATATGTAAGTGAGCTAGTTTTATCATTCACATTTTACAGGTGTCAGAAATGAAAATTGAAACATTAAGAAATTTCACTAAGGCCACAGAGCCATTAAATAACAGATCCCTGGAGCACAGCCTAGCTTCTTGACTGTTTCAGAATAAGCCCTTGAGCTTATACCATTTTCCATGTCCTCATTTTCCACATCCTCTCCATGACTTCTTGGAGAATAGTAACTTTTAAAATTATATAACATCCCATGAACTCTTCCTAACCTTGAATTTTATTTGGCTACTTGGTT